CTTTTTCTCTCCTCTCCTCCCCACTCACCATCTTCTACTAATCTCATCTCCCCCATCTTCCACTTCACTACTCCTCTCTCTCTCACCTATTTCTCTTTTCTTCATCGCTCTTTCATCCCCTTGCCCCCCTCTACTTCAAATTTTTATGTTTTTCTTCGTTTCCCTTTTTCTTTGATTTCAATCTTCTCTTCTCCAAAAATTCGAATTATCTTATTTCCCCTCCTCCCTTCTCATTTTTTGATTTTTTTTTTCCATTTATTTTGAAAATCCGAATTTCTTTGCGGCACCGTTAAATCTGACCAGGAGTTGGTCTTTCTTGCTTTCGGCACACATTTTGACCCCGTGGGGATAACGAAGTGCTTCCGAAATTTTCTGTTTTTCCTTCACTTAGTCTTTCTCGGCACACTTCGACCCCATGGGGGTAACGAAATGTTGCCGAAATTTTTGAAAAATCAGATACTTCATTTCTTTCCACCTCCTCATCCACTTATTCACTTATTTATTTATTTATTTATTTATTTATTTTCTGAACTTTTTAATTTGCGGCATTTTGAAACCTAGTGTGCTTATCTTGGTCTCTCCTTCCCCCTTGGCACATTCTTGACCCCATGGGGGGTAGGGAAATGCTGCCGAAAATTCTAAAAAAATAAATATTATTTCTCTCTTCATATTTTATTTCCTTATTTCCTTAATTATTTTATTATTTATTTATTTATTTATTTATTTTTATTTTTCTCTTGAAATCTGGCTGTTTATTTATTTTTCTTCCGCCTTCCCCCCTATGCTTGCTATTTTATTTTCTTGATTAGGTTACCGGTACCCTACCCTAACCACTCAAACTTCGGTTAGGGTTTTCTTAGGGTTTTTCTAGGGTTTAGGGTTTACCTACCCCCCCCTTTTTACTTTCCTTTCTCATTCGGCCACTCTGGATCCGAACCACCACTCCCCCTTTGACGGCGCCCGCACTCGATTTACTAGCGCCGCCCGTCGCTTTTTATCGCATACCTCCCCCTACGCCCTCCGCTCACACGGACCTCCTCCGGCCCTCCCTAGCCCGGCCCGTTACCTCCCCATGGCCGACGGCGTGTCACAAGCCGCCGAGGCGGCGACGACCTCGGCATTGGGCTCCACACCCGTGCCGATGGACCAGGGTCACGAGCCCCAAGGGGACCTGCACACCCTCATCACCTCCCTCCTTGCGTCCTTACAGACGCAAATGTCGACTCTTGCAGCTGGCCTACCGCAACTCCAGGACGCTGACCGTCCTTCCTCTCCTCACATTCTCTCTTCTTTTGGCTCCCAGTCCGGGTCCCCTGTCCTCCGACATGGTGGCCACGGCGGAGCTTCCTCCTCTGCCGCCCACGACCCAGCCATCCTGGTGACCGTCCACGCTCCTAACACGACGGCCGCCACAGGCCAGACCCTCCCTCAGTCTACAGGCGCACCTGCCCAGATTCCGGTCACTACGGCTATGGCACCACAACCCGCTACCATATTCTCAGCTTTTCCGGGTGCCCTGCTTCTCCCTCCCCTCCGCACGACCGTAGCGCCACCTGGCTCTCCCCCCTGTGGGATGCCCCGCGCCACTCGTGCGCCCACTCCCACCACTCTTCCTCCTGCCACTCCTCGCTCGATCTACGTCCAACGTCTCGAGGACGAGCTTGCCTAGACCTAGGCCGACCTCGCCCTCTTACGCCTTCAGCCACCCCCACCCTCACAGGTGGCCGCGCCTTCGGGCACACCCCCTCCTTCCTCTATTCTTCCTTCCATGCAGGCTCACTTTCCTCGCCCTGCACCCTATCCAGCCCCATCCTACCTTCTTCCTATTCCCTCGGTTGCTGCGACCTCTTCTACCGCAGCTCCCTCGCAGCCTGCCTCCGTTGCCCCCACCGCTTTCCCCATGCGGCCCGGGCGTACAGTCAGCTGCGCCCCTTTCTCCAGGACCTGCGTCGACTTACTCATCCGTGGCACAGGCCTCTGCTCCGCGATCCCCTCGCTGCCAAAACGGTGGCGCACCACTCGTCCGCTTGACGGGCATTGCATTGTATGACGGTACAGGCATATGCGTGTCCCGGTGGCTACAGTCTGCCACCCGCACCCTCCAGCTCATGGGCGCCCCACCTGACACGTGGGTGGGTCACCTCTCCACGCGCCTGCGTGGCGGTCCTTTTGACGCCTGGGAGGATTTCTACTCTTACTCCCTTCATACGGGTCGGACTTTGACCTTCATGGATTTCCAGACATTCCTCGAGGATCGCTTCCGAGCCCGACATGACGTGACTGACGCCTTCGAGAGTGTTGTCACTACACGCTGGTCCGACTCTGGTGGCGCTGCCGGCCTGGATTGCCACATCCAGGTCTTTCTGGACGCCCGCCTCATTTGTGACGTGGCTTCCTCCCTGAGGCTGCCCTTATCGATCGTTTCTTGGCCAGCCTTTCGCTCGAGTACTGCGCCGGGTTATGGCGGTACGAGTTCACATCGGCCCCGCAGGCTTACGAGGCCGCCAGGGACCATCGGCGGATGTGGGCCCGTCTTCAACCCACTTCCTCCTCCCAGCCTCAGCGTACTGGTTACGCCCCCTCCTCCTCTCACGACACTTACCAGCGCCGTTCCCTTTTCCGCGATCGGCCCTCCCGTTCCACTCAGTAAGGCCGCCACTTCTCGCGCCGCTTCAGCGTGCTCGAGTATGGTGAGCAGGACGCTGTTGCCCCGCTGTCGTCCGAGGGTGACCATAGCGACGACCTCGACCTCGGCGAGGCCGTCCGCCACCACCTGGAGGACTCTACTCTCCCTATGGTCGAGCGCCTCCAACTCATCCTCTCCGCCCTCTCCCGGGCATGCAGCCGCCCCGGTCACGCTGCCGCGTCGCCCCCCGAGGTCCCTCAGCAGGACCTCCCTCAAGGCTTTGTCCCTCCTTGCAGTGTGCTTTCCGCTGAGGAGCGCGCGGCTATTTTGGGGCGGCGTGGGTGCTTGCACTGCCGCCAGGACGGTCGTACCTTCCCGCGGTGCCCTTACACTGCCACCTTTCCCGCCAGCGTTGTGCTCAGTCCCCCCACGGCGCCTCGCATCCCCGCGGCGCCTCCTAGCCACGGTGCAATGTACACCTGCGCCCTCCTCAGTAGTTAGCTTCCCGACATCCCCGTCGCGATTTGCCCCTCTCACTACTGGAGTTGAGGTCTCGCAGGACCCGACAGAGTGTACTCAGCCCTCTGTTGAAGTACCGTCTGCACCTCCGCAGACCATCGTCTCCCCTCCTACCCCGCCGTAACTACCGACGCGTCGAGCCATTCGCTCAGCCCGTTGCAGCGAGCAGCTCGCTACTCGCGAGGATGTTTTGTCCTTTCTTCTGGACTTGAGAATGCTCGAGGCTCGTTAGGAGCGACTCACCCTCCATGTCGCTGCACAACGTCGCCTTCCATTCACCCACGATCACACCCTCCCGATCATCCCCGTACGACTGGGGACCTCCACGAGGGTGTACTCAACGATGTGGGATTTTGGTTCTCAGGGCAACTTCATTCACCCACGTGTGGTGAAAGAAGCCCACTTACCCACGACAGGGTCTCTGACTCTCATCTCCGTTACCCTAGGGGATAACAAGAACCAACGCTTCTTCGATCAGACGGTCACCGACCTCCCTTTCTTCCTCACTCTCGAGCCGACTGATCGTCCCCCGGCGTCTCATCGCCACCGCTCCTCCGCACATTTCGATGTGATGGAGGCGGGGTACGACTTCATTCTCGGTACTCTGTGGTCTCGTCGGTTCCGGAGCACCGAGGCCGATTGGGCGACCAACACTCTCGTTCTCAAAATGAAGTGTGAACAGACGTATCGCGTACCTTTCATAGGTACCACTGCGCCCCGATCCTCCTCCCCCGGAGCCTTCTGTGCCCACACCATCTCCTTCTATCACTGTCACCTCGCCTCGGCAGTTTACTCACTTCATTTGTCAGGACAACGTCACCTTCTTTATGGTGACCGTTACGGATCTCTTACACTATGATCCACCCTGTCCCGACGTCGAGCTCATCCCTCTGGAGCCAGATCCTCCTTCTATCTTCATGGCTCCCATCTCTACTTCCGTCCCTCCGCCGTCCGTCGAGTCCATCCCGCCGTCGTGCGCTGATGCTGACGCTGAGGAGCTCACACGATATACGGCTGACTTGGAACCCGCAGTTCGTGACCTCATTCGAGAGTACCACGATGTTTTCCCATCGTCGTTCTCGTACGCCGGCATCCCACTGATGCGGGATGTCGAGCACTCCATCCAGCTTGTGCCTGACTATCATGTTCACCACCAGGCACCCTACAGACTCTCGATCCCCGAGACCACTGAACTCAAGCGTCAACTTAAGGAGCTCCTGAGACTGGGTTTCATTAAGCCCAGCAACTCCCCCTGGGGTGCACCCGTCCTCTTTGCTCACAAAGCGGATGGAACTCTCCGTCTCTACATCGACTATCACGGTCTCAACCGCCACACGGTTAAGAATAACTACCCCATGCCTAGTTCCGACGAGCTGTTCGACCGCCTAGCAGACAACCGCTTCTTTACGAAGATTGATCTTCGTAGCGGTTACCATAAGATCCGCGTCGCTGCAGCGGACCAACCGAAGACAGCGTTCCGATCGCGCTTCGGCCACTACGAGTTTACGGTGATGCCCTTCGGCCTCACCAACGCACCCGCTACCTTCCAGAGGGCGATGAACGACATCTTCAAGGACATCCTGGAGCAGTACTTTCTCGTCTATCCTGGTCTTTAGTCGTACCCTTGAGGAGCACCTCAGACACCTCCGCGACGTCCTTGACCGCTTGCGTAGACATGGCTTCTACGCCAAGCTGAGCAAGTGCCGCTTTGCCCAGCACAAAGTGGATTTCTTAGGAGACTACGTGTCTGTCCAGGGTCTCCACATGGACGACGCGAAAATCAATTCTATCGAGGAGTGTCCCGTCCCCACATCCGCCAAGCAGCTTCGCAGCTTCCTAGGCCTTACCAGCAACTATAGTACTTTCATCCAGGGATACGCTAGGTATTCCTACGTCCTTACCTCCACCCTCCTCCGGAAGAACCCGCCCTGGCTTGGACACCCCTCCACGAGGACGCCTTTCACGCCCTCAAGAAGGTGGTGACATGCGCACCGGTTCTTCACCTACCCGATTTTGACTGCCCTCTTATCCTTACCACCGATGCGTCACACTTTGCTGTAGGAGCAGTGCTTTCTCAAATCTTTCCCTCCTCCCTGATTCCTCTCATCCTCGTATCCCTCGCTTCCCACCACCTACCCCTACCACTGCTTCCCGACTGACGCCTACACGTCCAGCTACTGACGAGCCTTCTATTGACTATTCTCCTACCATCGCCGAGGACGACACTGTCGAGTCTCGCTCAGGTGATTGTCCGATAGCCTTCTACTCCCGTCAGCTCCTGCCCGCCGAGATAAACTACACCGCTAATGAACGTGAGGTTCTCACAATAGTTTATGCCACTCGACACTGGCGTCACTACCTGCACAGGGCACCATTCATGGTGCGCACGGACAACTCTGTTGTCCAGGTTTTTCAGACAAAGTCGAAGCTCACTCCTCGACAGGCTCGCTGGTGGCGCGAACTATCCGACTTTAGTTTCATCACTGAGCACATCAAGGGTGAGACTAATCGGGTCGCAGATGCCTTATCCCGGCGCCCTGACCACGATTAGGAGCAGATCCAACTCGCTTCCATTTCGGTCACCACCGTCCACTACTCCGTAATCGACGAGTTTCGCACTCAGTACCGCTATTGCCCCGACTATCGCGATATGCATGCGACCCTTCGGAGTGGCAAGACCGTCCCGAACTAATCTCTCGGGGACAACGGTCTTGTGTACTGGCACGTTTCACAGGGCACCAGAGAGCACCGTATTTGCGTTCCCTCCACTGGACAGCTACGTGTCCGGGCAGTAGCAGAGTTCCATGACCAGGCAGCTGCYGGTCATATSGGCTTCCACAAGACGTTGGCTCGTGTGAGCCGCCTGTACGTCTGGCCGAAGTGCAAGGACTTTGTGAAGGATTAAGTCGCATAGTGTCCCACCTGTCACGAGGTGGACAGTGCAAACCACCTGCCTTATGGTTTGCTCCAACCTCTTCCTATCCCTGAGGGTCGTTGGCAGTCCATCTCGATGGACTTTATTGGTCCTCTTCGTCCCCCGACCCCCCGCGGTCATGATGCTATCCTGGTCGTCGTCGACCGCTTCACGAAGCGTGCACGCTTTGTTCTGTGCCGCTATGCCATCAGTGCACGTGAGGTCGCCGACATCATGTTTGACCGAGTCATGCGTGACCATGACTTACCTCTGAGCATCATATCTGACCGTGGTCCGCGCTTTACCAGTCGATTCTGACGACGGCTCCACGAGGTTTATGGCACCCAGCTCCGCTTCTCCTCGTCTTACCATCCCCAGACTGATGGTCAGACCGAGGTCACAAACAGGACTCTTCGAGATATTCTCCGAAAGATTGTTAGTGACGATCAACAGTGGGATCTCCATCTTGCCCACGCGGAGATAGCCTACAATCACGCCGTCTCGCTAGCCATGGGGATGTCGCCTTACTATTGCGACCTCGGCTATCACCCTCGTGTTCCCACAAATTTCCTTCGACCATCACAGATGCACCCTGACACGAGTTGTTCCGCACTGGATGATTGGGTTGCACAGATGATGTCGATCATGAAGACCGCACATGAGTACATAGCCGCTTCCCAGACTCGCATGGCCGCACGTGCGAACCGATCGAGGATGGATCATCCATTCAAAGTCGGTGATGATGTGCTTATCGACACCCGCCACTTACAGCTCGAAGCGGACACGCTTCGCAAGTTTCGGCGTCGCTTTTGTGGCCCATGCCGCATCCTCTAGGCCGTCGGTTCTAATACGGCATCTAGCCCGGTCAGCTTCCGTGTGAAGCTGTCTGACTACCTACGCCAGGCTCGTGTGCACGATATCTACCACGTCTTGTTATTGTGTCCTTACCGCAGACCGTCTGAGCGTTTCGCTAGACGACCATACAAGCGCCCTCCACCCATCATGGTGGACGACCACGAGGAGTTCCTCGTTTCAAACATCATTGGTCGCCGAGTCACCGACGAGAACCCTCCCCATGTCGAGTATCTCGTACGTTGGAAGGGTTACCCTGATGAGGAGGCTACCTGGGAACCCCTCGAGCACTTGCAGCACGCTCGCATGTTGGTGTGTGCCTATGACCGTGCTCTTCGTGCTGGGTCGACTGCTCCCCCTCAAACCACTGACCCTCCTCCTTCTCCCTCGGCAGAGGAGACCGCTGAAGTCGAGCTTGCCCCATCTGAGGCAGACCTTCAGCAACAACGGTTTGCTTCTGAGTGTTGTCGGAGCTGATACCCTTACAAGGGTATCCGCTCATGATTTTGCAGTCGACACGACGTCGGCACCAACTACCATGAGGGAGACAATGTGCACTTTTTTTTCGTGCAATACTTTAGAACAGTTTCCTCGATCTTTGAGTCCGAGGCGAATCCATAGGAAAAATTTTTGGTTAGTACACGCAGACTATATTTCAGCACACGGTAGTTAGGATTGTTAATAATACTCTTATACCATAAAGCTCGAGGGTTCTATTCAATCAAAGTAAGCCTACGAGCCGCCGCGGTAGCCGAAAGGCGGCGAGGACGGAAAAATGTAAGAGGCGGGTGCTTGGACGTGGTGCGCAATGGAAGTAGGAAGCATAAAAAATATTATAAACCCCTCGACCACCGAGGCCGAGAGGTCGGTTTGGGTTAGCGTTATGTCGATGTAAGCTTACGATATGGGAAAAACGAAGTGTCGGTAAGGTTTTAGGTGGATGAAATTAATATAGGCCCCCGCCATACGGTCGGGGCGACTATAAAAGCCTAAAATACCTACTGCCGTTGAACGGCGGTACTTATCCAAACCGTATTCGTCGTAGGAGCGAGGCTTGGGCTCGTTCCACTAGTTGGTCCGGGCCCTGCTCCTCTACTTATAGGCTTAGCAGCTCCATTTCTATTGGAAATAGGAGCTAGCTCAGTAGGTACAAGTTCGGATTGTCACGCCACAGATTCAGGGATTGAGTCTATCTAACCCTGAGCTAGCTCCTTTTGATAGGGAGCAGCACTGGGGCCGCCCGTTTTCACCCCTCACGAGGGCGGCGGGGACTTGAACCCGCGACCTCAGCGTTAGGAGTAGTTATAGTTAGTTGGTCTGCCCGACAGTTGGCACTATGGGGTAGATAGTAGTCAGATTTTTTTATTTTTATTTTTCTTAGTTCGTTAGATTTATTATTATTATTACTATTATTATTATTTTCTAATTATTTAGTATTATTCATTTTTCTTCGATCCCGTAGTTGTTCTCGATGATTTCAGTTGAATGAATCTGCCTCTGAAACCAGAGCAGATTCGTTATGCTAGTAAGGAAGTAAGCTATCCGGGATCGCGAAAGACTGGCCGCATAGGATTTCGATGCCACGGCTCACGGAGGTGCGAAAGGCAGGGCGCAGGCAACCAGGCGAGCGGAAAGCGCAGCTCCGACTTCGCGAAGAAGAGACAGAGAGAGCAGGGGGAGAGGAGGAAGAGCGCCATGAGCCACGGGGAGAAAGACATCGCGCGGAGGAAGAAAAGGATCGGGCGAAGTAGAGAGGGAAAACCGCACGCACTAGTAATGAGGAGAAGAGAAAAGGATAGGTGAAAGGAGAAGAAGAAGAAGAAGATGAAGAAGAAGAAGAAGAAGAAGGAGAAGAGAGAGAAGGAGGGACGAAGGGCTCGGAGACGAGAACGAGGAGGCCGACTATGAGGGGGACAATTACATAGAAGACGACCACAAGGGAAGGAGGGAAGTCGCGTGAAGGAGGGGATGAGCGGCCAGCAAGAAGGAGAGTGATAAGAGGGAGGAGGAGAGTGACACGAGGAGGGGACGACGTGCAGACACGAGGAAGGGGGCGAGTGCGCGGGTTGAAAAGGGAGAACTCGCAGACGAAACTAAACCGAGCAAAAAGGAGGACGAGACGACGACGACGTGACCACAACAGGGTGACTGCGACGACGATGAAGAAGAAGAAGAGACAAGGAGAAGAGAAGACGAGGTGGAGGGTTGAAACTTACCTGCAATATGCAATGCACAAGTCGTTTTTCTTATTATGATTTTTTATTTATTTATTTTACTGTGTCTTGTATCTGGCCATGATTAGGGCCAGATATATGGCATAAAGACGAAGAAGAAGAGGGGTGCAGGTGCAGACGGTGTGCGCACATGCGTGGAAGGGAGAAGAGCACGGCGGCGTGGCGAAAGCGGACGCGTGGGGAGGAGAAGTAGTAGGAGGAGAAGTAGTAGAAGAAGAAGAAGAAGAAGAAGAAGAAGAAGAAGAAGAAGAAGAAAAAAAAAAAAAAAAAAAAAAAAAAAAAAAGGAGAAGAAGAAGAAGAAGAAGGAGAAGAGGAAGGAGAGGAAGGAGGAGAAAAAGAGAGAGAGGGAGAGGGATACTCACCCAACCCTACATCCGTGTTTACCTTGTGCGGGGTGAAGACAATGGGATGTGTGATATGTCCGCCGGTAGCGCCGTGAAGTCGGGCTATGATCAGCCCGACGTGTTGGAGTATGAGCTTGTACCTGTCGTCGCCCCCATGCCGTGAGCTCGATATACTGCACATCGTGACGAGTCGAGTAATGGAGCGGGGGCGCCTCTGACTAAGTCAGCTGGCGACGAAGGCGAGGGAGCGGGACAATGATAACAGGTAAGTCTCCTACCCCACGGCCGGCCGCGCGATACTTCTATCGATAATATGAGTCAAATCTGACGTATCTATCGCTATAACGAGGAAGTATACACTACTGTTAGCCTGTGAGTGTGTGTGTGTGTTCCTACAACGAGACTACCACAAGCTACTACCATCGATAGGATGAGTCATATCGAACGAATCTACCTCTAGTACGTGAAAACGTTCACTACTACACATGTGTGCATGTGTAGGTGTGGACATGTGTGTGTGTGTGTGTGTGTGTGTGTGTGTGTGTGTGTGAGAGAGAGAGAGAGAGAGAGAGAGAGAGAGAGAGAAAGAGAGAGAGAAAGCGAAAAAAAAGGAGATTGTACGTGAGAGAGAAGGGAAGGAGAAGGGGTGAATGGTGGTCTTTGGATGGAAGCGACATCTGTGAGTGGGGGATCGAGGTTGTGAGTGAGGCGAGAGACATACCTGGTGCTGAAAGCGTGCGACATTGATCGCTGTATGCGAGTACTTCAGGAAAGCTTTTGACGTCATCATTCGACATTGTAGTATAGGCTAGATAGGATCTGCCATCTGTAGTCTGGGCGCCGAGCGCCAGATAGGATATCAACATTGGTTCTTCATTATTGATGATGATGAGACTTTACCAGCATTGTCAATTATCAGCTTTTGGTGTCTCCTTATTTGGTGAACCTCGTGATGCAATTCTACTGTTGGTGCGAGGTTATGACTATCTGGTCTTGTGTATATGATGCTGTTTGATTGCTGAGGTTCGCTACTGCTTATCTTCCTTGCCTATTATTATTATTATTATTATTAGTAAAATCAGACTCGTTTTCATTCGCGCTTCTCATGCATGTAAACATGTGCGCAGCAAACCGACGACAAGCGCACACTCAGTTTTCAGAAATATGGTGACCGAGAACACAGTTCAGATTCAAGTTCAATTTAATAGTTGTGGTGACTGAGCGTCCACACAGCTCTCTCTGTGCGCATACACAGGATTACCTTGGAATATCCCGCACGCAGTACTCTGTACACACATACACACACATACACGCTAGACTCTACCTGCCGCTATGGCAGCTATGGCCGCTGCTAACCTATCACTATGGCTAAGCTCTCTTCTTGCCCACTTCGTCTTCGGGCTCATTGCAGACCACCCCGCACAGGTCCCTGTAGCAGCGCTTCCGCATGGCTCACGCAAGAATGGATGAATGGTTGGGCGCTGCCTCTTGATTTATACTCATGCAGCTCGTTGGTCTGACCCTTTCCCATGCTCGTAGCGCACACAGTCCCATGCGGTGCTTGCTTGACTAAACCGGGACAGACTGGGACGGGGACTGCTGACTCAACACGGGTAGACTCCACCACTTGCCCGCTTGCCTGAGGTCTGCTGTGAAAAATGGGTGAAGGGCCACTCCCGGATCTTCCGAAAGTATGCAACTTGGGCCCTTTGACACTGTAGCAGCTACGACCTTGACCTTCTTGGACTGTAGCAGCTACGACGTTGACCTTCCAAGACTGTAGCGGCTACAACTTTGACATTTTCAGACTGTTGCATCTACGACCTTGACCCTTCTGCATTGTTGCAACTACGACCTTGACCATCCGGGATAATAGCAGCTACGACCTTGACCTTCCAGGACTGTAGCAGCTACAACTTTGACCTTTTCAGACTGTTGCAGCTACGACCTTGACCCTTCTGCACTGTTGCAATTACGACCTTGACCATCTGGGACAAAAACAGCTACGACCTTGACCTTTCAAGAAAATCCTACAGCCACGACCCCAGCTACGGACTTAACCCTTAT